CAGGCCCCCTAGGCCCCTTCCCCTAGATCGACCACTGGATCATTCAGAAATGGCAATTAACAGCACGTGAATAAATATGAGAGAAAAAAGTTGAAAAGCAAAAAGTTGAAGACAGTGAGACAGGCAAGAATGTCATTAAAAAGAACAGAAAGGGTGATTATACTGTTTCTATAGAACAACAAAGATTCCTAGACACGAAGAAAAAACAAAAAGGATAAAAGAAAAGTAAAAATAGACGCTCAAATTGTTACCTTGCCATCATCAAACTCATAGTCCTTGGAAGGTTTCAACTCAAGTTTTATTCTCAATCTCTTGATATCATCTTTTGATTTAACCAACTGAATTACTATACAAAAAGAGAATTGTTTTAGAAACTATTTTAACAACTATTCAAATACATGTTTTACAACTATCATAATATCATAACACTCCTGATTGCAAAATGTCAATTTTTTTACCATTCCATAAATTGTACCTCTGCTTTGATCAGAAGAATTGTTTGCATCTATAACATCATTTGGATTCTTCAAGAAAGAAATCCGGCCTGAAATAAAGTTTCATCATGAGTGTATCTCATGCATATCTTTTCCATGAAAGCCCACTCACCCATAGCTTTCAGTTTGATAAGAACACTCTGGGTTGAAGTTCTATTCATTTGGTAATCACTCCCAACAGGACATAGTATTACTAGGTTCCACCATTACAGCATGGTAACAGCTATATGCTTTTTTAATTTAAAAAAAAAAACAAAACAAAACAAAAAACAGAGGTCTTGCCTTTTGTGGTTTACGGGGGTTTTCACATGTTTGTGAGTGCAACAAGTAGAATGACTTGCCAATTTTTTGTTGTTTAACTATATATTAATACATGTATAGCTTGGTCCCAGACTTAACAGCATTTTTTTCTTGATTTACTCAAATGGTCTGCCCGGAGCCATGACAAACACTTCCGTTGAAATGTTTGCAGATGATACTAAAGTTTTCTGCATTGGAAATACTATTGATGAAGTCTTATCTAAGATACAGAAAGAAATCGTCGACTTAAACAAATGGGCTAAGGATAACTTCATGACTATTCATCCTGCAAAAACTGAACTAATGTTGCTATCTAAATCAAAATTCATAGGACCCTTACAGAAAAATTCATTTGTTTAGGGCAAAATGAGTTGTTGTTTGTTTCCAAAGCTACATGTTTAGAGATTCTTATCAATAATAAACTCTCTTAGCTTGGTCACCACATGTAAAATCTTTGAGCAAACATTTTTCAGCAAGAGTGAAGAAACTCAAACACTTAAAAGGACTCAACAATCGCACCTTAGAGTCAATTTATTTTGAAGGTATCATTCCAAGTATTACGTATTCAATTGGACTATGGGGATCTTCAAAGTCACTTCACACCCTAGAGGACATTCACATTGGAGCTGCGAGATTTATTTTTAACCTAAAGAAATCTACTCCCAACACTGAAGTCCTGGCAGTGACAAAATGGAAGTCCTTAGCATACATCTACAAAAAGAGGATTGCAACTATATCTTATCAGGCAAATTTTACAATAGAGCTCCAACTGGTATAAGCTCTCTATTTATTAAACACTCTCCGTTGAGAAATCTAAGGGACAGTCTGAAACTATACGTGCAATGCCCTAAAAGTGAGTTCAGTCAATTTTCCTTCTCTCATCATGCGTCCATTCTATGAAATAACTAATACTCATGTACTTTAA